CGGGCGACGCGACGTCAATAAAAATTTGTTACCCCGCAATATGCAAACGGCCATTTGCATGAGCAAAAATTGAAATTAATGAGAAAAGCAATAAAAAAAAAAACTAGAGGCAAAGGCAGAATTAGAACAAAGGCAAGTGCAATAGCAAATAGCAATGGCAATAGCAACAATAGTTAGACATTCGGCTTAGTAACAGAGTCTCAGAGAGCCAGAGAGAATTGTTTGTGGGTTTGTTGTTAAGTCAAGTCACACGATTATTGGCGGCCATTTTGCATGAGGGAAGGGTCATAGACTAAGTGGGGAAAGCAGATGGAGTGAGAATTTGAGGAGAATCTCATAGTCATAGCTGAATACGAGTATGGAACAAAGGGCACATCTTACAAGAGGATATCCTTGCCTCATACAAGAATATTATTGATTAATATGTGTTCTATGTTATTTGATAGGGTTTTGTTGTAAATATTAATGTTTTCCTGTGTTTATTTCATCAGCAACAAAATTTAAAATTTCTTAGAATTTCTTATACGATATCCCCTATCAATATAACTATAAGAAATTTCTTAGAACTTCCAAAGACAATTTAAAACTAGCTTCAATGAATTCTTATGAATTGAAAGACAATGTCTGCGATGACGCCATATACCAATGCATTTAACTTTGCTGAAAGTCTAAGGTTTAGGTCTCTCTTTACTAACACTTTTAATATTTTTTGAAGAATAATTTCCTAGAAATTCCCAGCAAAATTCCTTACCTCGAAATGCCTTGAAACTTTAATCAGCCAAAGCTTTTTTTTTTAGAAAATGGCAGAACGGAAACAAAATCCTCCTCAAAAGACCACAAAACGAATGGTGAAGAGGGACCTGTAGCCTGTTGGGGAGGTCATTTTCTATTGCTAATGAGAAACAGTTGGTTAGGCTTTGGCTCTCTCTCTCTCTCTCTCCATGCAAATGTGAATGTGTGTGTGTGTGTGTGCGTATCTATGACTCTCTGTCTGTCTGGGAATGTGTGTCACAGCAGTGGATGACATAATTCAAAGTGAAACGGATGACATTCATTACGATGCATTTGAACGACAGCAAAAACGAAAAAAAAAAAAAGGCGAATAAAATACGAAAGTCAGACATATGGAAAAACTGGGCAAATTGCAATTGCAATTGTAGACAGAGGTCTGCCGTTGTGCATATGAGAAATACATACATACTACATATACATATATACATACATATGTCTCATTTTTTAAAACTCTCGTGATATCTGTTGTCGTATCGCTTCTCTTTTTGTGAGGATTCCCCCGTTTTCTTTCTTGTCCAATGGTCATGCTCTGAATACGTTTCTACTCCTTTTCTGTTGTCTTATTCTTGCCCTCTGCTGCTTCCTTTTTGTGCCCGCTTGCAAGTACAGTTATGTGACCCTTTTGACAAGATCCTCGTTTGCTTGTTGCACATGCGCACTCACCTTGACTCACGAAAGTCAGTGAGGCAAATCCGTTGTGAGGGTTCATTGGTTTTTGCTGCACTCCGCTGCCTTCGCTTCGACTGTTTCTGCCTCTCACTTTGCCACCAGAGAATTCATCTCCGGTTCGAGTGCCTAAGCGGGGCATTAGACGTTGTGCACGGGGGATACGGGGGGGGGTACCCACGGGTGGTAGCCCAGGATTATGCTCGTTAGTTATTGATGGCCCAGCAGGAAGCAGGCGAATGGTTGCAGGTGCAGCTGCCTGCCGTTTGCTGCTGTGACAGTCAGACAGTCAGTCCTCATGGCGTATACACAATTGTGGGAATGGCATTTTGAGGCCATTTCTGAGAAGAGTTTGGGGGCGGGGCTTGAGACGGATTTCAGGGGGTATGAATATTGGAAAAGCTTCTAAGGCTCATATGAAACACTCATAAGAGCTATGCAGAATTTATTGCATTGTGAACTAGATAAAGTTTATTCTTTCTGGGAGAAAAATACTGAAGAGTTTTTATAGGAATATGAAATCTGAATACATCCTGAAATTCATTCATTAATCAAAGAATTTTAACATAATTTGTAAAGAATTTCTGTCCCAAGAAACTGATTATTTCCATCATCTTTTCTTTTCGCATTGGTCAGGAATTAATTGAAGAAATGTTCTGCAGTCTTTGCACTTCCTTTAGAGCCACACATTCATTACCTACTTCTCATGGCATCATTAAATCATTATTAACTACACACTCCAACTCTTTTCTTGGGCATTAATCAACGCTCAGAATTCATATGCATTTTAGCAGAATTTCTCAAGAGTTTGATTGGAATTTCTAAAAGAATTTCATTGGAATTTCTGTAGTCTTCTCTCCACTTCCTCTGGATCCATACATTTGCTGATTGATTCCCAAGAAGCTTAGTTACCTCCTCTCCAGCTGCCATTTTCCTCACTTCTATCACTTCTTTCATTTTTTTTTCTTTTCATAATATTCTCTCATTAAGTTAAGCTTCGTTATTTCTACCTACCTCCCTCCTGCCCCTTCGCTCCATAATTGCCTGCACTTTCTGCTTGAATGGAAAATCTCCAACAGCATTTTTTCAATGTTTTAAGTCGTTTAATCTGCATTCGCCCCTCTGCAGAGGGGGGGCACTTTAGCAGGGTGAGCGGAGCCAAAGTGGCGTATGCGTAATATGTTTTTCCCTCTAATTGAAATACTTTGCAAAAGAAGACACTTGAAAGGATGGTGGGGCTAGCAGCTACAAAAAAAAAAGGGCTTTAATTGTGCACTAAGCTGCTTACGAGGCACACAGCAACAGCCTCCTCCAGCCAGAGACCAGAGAACAGAGACCCCATCATAGTGCTCTTGCCTGCTCTAGCTATCCGAAAAGATGCATCTGGCACGAAGCACCAGAGGAGCAAGCAAGCAAGCAGCAGCGTACTTTATAGATACACAAAAGCCAGAAAGAGCGAGACCCAAGAACATGGACTTGACTCCGTTGGAAGATGGAAGCAAGTGGCAAGCTTGGTGCTGCTAGTGGTGGGGAGGGGTACATTGCATTGTTGTTGCGGCTAGTTTTTTGTATGATTTTTTTGGTTGTGTGTGTGTGTGTGTGTGTGTATTCCTTGCTTCTTGTGATTCTTCTTCCTTCAGAGAAGAAGGCTGCTAGACGACCATTGCCATGGCTATATTGCCGCCTCCCGATGATGCTGATGCTGAGGTTGAGGTTGATGATGGCCATGGCGATGACGTCGTTGCCATAGTTGCCACATAGTACAGTCATAGACTAAGCGAGAGAGCGCAGCAGTGACTAAGAAAAAGAGTACAGAAAAATAGAGGCTAGAGCAGGGGCAGGGGCGGGGAGCAGGGGCAGAGCAACACTTTATATAGACGATGCATTGCCTGCATAAACTACAGAATTCCTTTTAAAGCGTTAAACTGCATTCGATAGACACAAAGATACACACAGGCACGCACACAAAACGATACGGATACAGATACAGATACTCGTACAGCTGTAGAAACTTTGGACAGACATTGCCATCCATTTTGCAATAGTATTTGTATCGCACTGGCAAGTATCTGCTTGTGTGTGTGTGTGTGTGTCTGTGCATCTGTAAGTGACTGCGAATATGTATCTTTTTTTCTGTTTGAAATTGTATCTGTATATTTAGTTTTTCACATTGCATTGCTCATATTTACTTGAAATTCAATTTGCAAACATTTTACGTTGCCTTTTGTTTGCTCAAGTTTCAATTGTAGTTTTCTCCCATCAACCTCCGCTTCTTTTCCCCACCCTCTCATTCTCATTCTTATTCTTATTCCATTCTCAATTCATTTTCTGAGTTTTTTTTTGTGCTCTCTCCTCCTCCCCCCCCTTTTTGTATATATTTTTGCATTTATTACGCATCAATTTTGAATGATTTGCAAAGAGGGAAAAGCGAAATGCAATGCATTTCGATAAGCTTTTACGGAGCAGACTCTCAGGAATTGATTTGTGTGGATGAAGAGATGGCGAATAAATGCGAAGAAATTGCTTTTTTCTTGTAATAAAATATACATATATTCTTTGGGTTGCCATGGAATCAGAACTTATGGCTAAAAGCGGCGGAAATCTTTTCAAATTAAAACTTATTTTCCTTTCTACCGAACGGAATGGAGAATTTTCTCCTACTTCTCCGCGTTGTTTTCCTCTTACTTTTATTTATTAATCAACTCTAGCAACAAATGTGGCCGCGTTTCATAGATTAAATTCCCAGCTAAACAAATAAAAACCACCTTTAGATCAAGGTTATTCGAACATCTTCTCATATTACTTTTGTACTATTTTCCCAGAATTGTGTTTATTGATTTACTCGAAATAAACAATTAAACTGTACAATCGATTCGTGTGGCACACAAATCGAATGAAATCGGAGCCAAAATCAAGACGAAATTTCCATGACATAAGAAATTGTGGAAGGCCGACTCCAGCTGAAATAGGAGTCGGAATAGGAGTTTGACACCAGTCCAACAATGGCTACACACACACACACACACACACATGTATATAGCAGGGCTCCCCACACAGATACATCTGCAGAATGCACAAAATCAATGTCAAAAGCCTGTTGTAGTTGTTGTTGCTGCAAGGACATCATGGGGGCACACTCTATGAAAGAGCAGAGACCGCAAACAGAATCATGGCTCGATTGCCGACATATGCAGCTTGCAGCAAGCCCCCAACCATCGCTGGTGTGTCCCTTAACTGGTTTCCAGCTGTGTTGACTCCTGACACCCCCCGCTGCTGGGAGCCTAGCAAATGAAGCGAATGCGTCTGTCTAGGAAGACGGGGAAGAGAAGGAAAGACCAAGAGACAAGCGATGGAAGATGCAAGACCCGGAGGAGCTGGCAGCCGGGAATCGTAGTGGTACTGTTCCCTGAATGTTAGTTCAAGGGCGGAATCAAGGCTGAGAGCTCCCCTTGCTATAAATAGTTCTCGTTTCGCCCTCTCTGCCGCTTCTCAGTGAGGGTCTATCCACCATACATGGCGTATACGCAATATGAGAAACTCACCACAGAATTTTGCTCGCTCGAAATGTCCTTGCATGTCGCTCCGTCCTTGTTGCATGCTCGTCGTGCTGAGCGGCATCCCCTTTGCACTTGAACCATTGTCCTTTGGCACTGCCACCGCCACCGGCCAACCCAGCGAGGGGACATGGTTTCGCCCTCTGACTATCCATTTTCCTCTTTTTCTTCGTTTACCAAAAAAATAGAGGGCAAACCAAAAAAAAACCAAAAATAATTAAATAACATGAAAAAGAAGAAAGAAATATAGAGTTCTTGTCGATGCTTAAAAGTCTTCTGTTTTATGGAGTTTTATAGCAAATATTTTAAAGAACTTATTTTAAATTTAAATTTGGAATTTGCCAATTTTATCAGTTGGATATTTGGTTTATTTATTTATTGTTTATTATTTATTGAATTACTGCTTTCAGCTTTTGCCGCATATTTTATCGTTGTGCGATTGGATGTCAATGGAAATGCTGATGATGAGTAATTCAGTGTATCTTTGGGGTTGGAGAGTGGGAATAGAAGACTGCAGTGGAATGTAAATGTGGTGGTTCCCTCGGAATTTTATAATTGTTCATTTTACATACATTTCATTCAAGGTCGGGCGAGGACATTTCAAAGCATGACTCAGTGAAAATAAAACAAAGAATAATCTAAAATGTTAATTGAACTTGAATACTGTTAGGTAATTTAAGAGAAAATCCAAACAAAATCTAACAAATATTTGAAAACACTCTGAATAAATTAAATTAATAATTTTGTAAATGTTTAAAACAAGCAAAACCATTTGCAAATGTGATTTCATATGTATGTATAATATTTAATGATTTCATTATCATTATCAGCAAAGGGGAAGCGACGGCAAATGAAAAGGCAGAGTGCATTCAACTGCCGTTGGCATAACAGCAAAAATTGAAAATAATGCAAAAGAAAAGCAAAGCAAAAAGAGGGTAAGAAAAAGGCAAACATTTCAGGAAAACTCACTTACACACGAATCTTTTTCTCTGAATTTTTCAAAACTAATTCCATTCATTTAAAAAAAGTTGTTCTTCGTTTTAATGCATTTTTATATTATTTCAAATAATATTTTGTTTTAGTGTTTCTATTTTCTGTTTTTAATTTTTCAGCTGCAAACAATTTTCTTTTATTTCATTTTTCTTTGATCTACCAAAAGTTTTTCCACCATTTTAGTATAATTTTTTGCACTTTTCAAATGTATTTTCCACAATCAAAGTTTTTTCTGCATTTTAATATGTTTTTTTTTTGCACCGTTTATAATGTTTTTAGATTTTTATTAAATTTTCCGGTCTCGAATAAAAGTTTTTCCTTCATATCCATTAATTTTTTTTGGATTTTTCTTTAGTTTTTTTTTTGCAGTCAACGAACAAAAGAGCACCAATACCGGCGTAAGATCAGTAGATGTGTGTGTGCGTGTTTGTGTGCATGTTTGCATGAGTGTGCATGCATGTGCATGCGCAGTGCAATCCGTTTTCAAAGTTGTTTTTGTTGTTTGTTGGTAGGGCCCCTTCTCTGCTAACCCTCTGCTTCTTTTTGCGGCTGCTTCTGTTTTTGCTTATTCGCTTGTTGCCCCCACCGCCACAGCGCACTGCCTGCACTTTGAGCAAGAGCACTCTCTAGTGTGTGTGAGTCTGTGTGTGTGTGCTTGTGAGAAAGAGAGAGAGAGGGTGCACTATGTGTGTATTTCTGTCTCTGTGTATTGGTATGACTTCATTTCCTTTGTCGTAGGTCATCATTTCCACAGAGAAAATGCGTTTTAATTGCTTTTAATATTTTGAGAATTTTCGTTTTTCTAAATGTGATCAAAAATAAATGTTAAATATTTTTAGATTTTCTGCCACTTCGTTAATTAAATGTGAGTTTGGTTGCGAAAATATTATTTGCAGGGAAAATGCATTTGAAATGGTTTATATTATTGGAAAATTTTAGTATTTCATAAATTTTGAACAGAATTGTTAAACTTTTTTAGACATTTTTCTATATTGAATTAAAAATATAAACATTTTTTTTTTGTTTAGTTTAAGTTCAACAATATTAAAGGAGGATCAATAATTTTAGCTCTATCGAAAATATCAATTCAAGCGTCCAATGTTTGTACACATTCGTTAAAAACGAAAAATGTTAATTAAATTAATATTTGAGTAAATTTTTAAAATTTTTTTACACACAAAAAGCCCATACTTTCTCCACTGCTCTCGTCGTTTTCCAAAAAACAGTCTTTCACTGGATTTGCACACAGGGAACACTTTTTGCGTTGAATTATTGTCTTTGCCGCTGGCATTTTACTTATTTTTGGAATGTCTTTGGTAATTTATTTGTATAAAGTTCTCTTTCTCTTTTTGCAATTGCACCGTTTCGGCACCGTTCCATGCAATTCAAAGTCGCGCTCCGGACTGGCCGAAAAGGGTACAGAACTGATTCTCCAACGCATTATGTCCGGGGCCAGGGTTGCCACCTTATGTACAGAAAGCCCCCCCTACACAAGAGAGAGGATGGCGACGTCAGCGACGCCAACGCAGCGGCGGAGAACGGTTGGGTACGAGGGGGACGGGTGCAAGCAAGAAATTGTAATAAAAGCAAATGAATCGCACCAAGTGCATCGCACACAGACATATGCGGAGGAGGCGAAGTGCAGCGAAGGGAGAAGTTCAGTACTGCACATATGAGTAGGTGTTGTTGTTGGCTGGGAAGGGAAGGGTAAACAGAGGGTGGGGGGCACCTACAAGCCGGCCGCCGTTTTGCGTGGCAGTTTTTGCACAGAGTACAGAGCAACTCTTTGCTTTTGCTCTCTCTCTCTCTCTCTCTGTGGGTGACGCTCTCTTGCAATTGTTGTAACTGCAGGCAAAGGGTTTATCGATATAAGGTGAGGTATTTCCTATTAAAAGCTTTTACAATGGCTATGGAAACTAAATAGGCAACTGGAAAGATCAGGAATCCCTCAACTTACTAGTAAAACTCTCCACCTGTTTAATCTACCTTGATATGAGTAGTGCATACAAACAAACACATGAACGAATGCATGTACATATGCACATATGCATGTCTGTGTGTGTGCTGTAATCGGCGAACTTTTTTTATCATCTTTCTTTCGCCATTGTCATGATGCTTACCAGTGTTGAAGAACGGTTGGCAGCGGCCCCAAAGTTGATCGCTAGTCGGCTCGGCGCACCTGTCAAAATGCAAATCTGATACGCGGACAGGCAGTGGCACAAGGAGGGTGCCATGGGAAGGCCGTGAACAAGATTTAAGAATTAAAATTTCAAGGCACCATCCGGAAACCGAAATATAACGGACGCCGCGTCATTACGCGAAATTATGCACACATACACATAGGAACACACACACGCACAACCAACGTGGATGTGGGGACGGGACTCCAAAGATGGAACAAGAAACAGCGCAGCAGCGGCAGTGGGAGCGCGTGAGCACGAAGAACCGCAATGTGCAACTTTTGAAAATGAAATGCAGCGCCGCTACAGCGTCGACTGTGCCGACGACAAAAAGAAAGCGTCACGGCACAGTCAAGAGACAACAAAAGTAAAGGAATGACGCGAAACAACAACAAATATTCGCAAAGAGCGAGAGGGAGCGCCAAAGCTTGCTTGCAGCATGGTCAAACTAAACAGGGTGGTGTATTTCCGCACCGCGCTCTCTTTGCTGGGCTCTTTTTATTCGTATGGCAAACTTCGCTGCGCTTGCATGTGTGTGTGAGTGATCCAAAAGAGAGGCGAATACACCACCTTGTATGTTTCAGCATGGCTTGCAGTTTCTCTTAGTCAGGTGGCTGTTTGTGTTTAAGCGCTTGTGACTCCATATATATATATGTGTGTGTGTGCCGATGCATTTCCCCTTTAACGTTAACCCCATTACGGAGCTTAAGGGTTTATGAATTCGGAGAATAAATAATTTGGGTGAATATCCATGAATGGCGCGCTTTATTTGAATTGCGCGCGTATAAAGGAGTGGAGTCGTGGTAACAAAGATTCAGTTCGTGCGAGCTGGATCCAATCCAACAATTTCCAGCACTTTTCGCACACCGTTTACCAGCACTCTTTAAGTAAGCGCAAAAATTCAAAAATCTTGGCAGAGAATTGGACAAAAATAAATGAAACAGAATGTATATTTTCCAAAAATAAGAACAAAGTAATACCGCTACCCGGCTACCGGCTACTAGGACTAGCCACTGACAGGACTTTCCAGGACTACGCACTACACTGCACAGGACAAGATGGATACGAGCAAGGCTGGAGCCAGTGCCACTGCTGCGACCAGCAATGCGTCATCCCAGGACCAGCAACAAGCTGTGGGCCCTTTGCGACCGGCAAAGCCTGGTCGGATGAAGAAACTAGCATATCCGAAGAAACCTGACCAGTACACAAACCGCCGGCTTTATATTAATATTAAATATAATTTTAAAAAATCAAATTTTAAAAAGTGTTGATTGAAACGCAAAAATGAGCACGCGCTTTGGACATGTCGTGACACGTTCGTCGGGATTTTGCCTTTTGGTCACACCGAACTCGTGCGCCTGCTGATTTCAGATTTTTTAAATAATAAATTTCGAATTTATTAATTAAAACCGACTCGAAACAATGGCTTCCATACTGCGTACGGGGAAACTGTTGCGCTACTTTGCGGGCTTCACACGTAATGTGCTGGTCAGCTCGGTGCGCGAGAACGAGGCGAGCAATCTGCTGACAAGTGCACCATGCATATGCGGCCAGTTCCAGAGGTAAGTGCCGGCCGCCCATTACGCAATGACACAGGAATTTCATGAAAATCTAAAAGAGAAAAGTGGGAGAACCCCACGCGGCACCCAGAGGGGGTGCTGTATACGGGATTCTTCTTGTATATTCATTGGAAAAAAGATTGTAAAACTGTTTACATAACCTCGATCTCATCTGGAACATTCGCTTGTGTTTTCCCTCTCAGTGGCTTCGCTACCAATGCCGCCGCCAAGGCAGAGCTGAATCTCGACAAGCAGATTCGCCGCCTGGACCACGATGTGCGACGCATCGGGCGCATATCGCGACGGGATCTGGAGGAAATCCTCGATGAGATACGCACACACCGCACGGCCACCAGTTCGCAATCCCTGATGGTCATACGCTGCTGCGGCAATCTGGTGCCCGAGGAGCTGCCCGGAGGTGCGCACAGCCCTGGTGCAGGAGATCTGGAAGACGCTGAATGCCCTCAATGTGCCCATGGACATCTCGCACTACAATGCGCTGCTGCGCGTCTATCTGGAGAACGAGCATCCGTTTGCGCCCACCGATTTCCTTGCCGAGATCGAGGCCAAGGGCATCGAGCCGAACCGCGTGACATATCAGCGGCTGATTGCTCGCTATTGCCAGCAGGGCGACATCGAGGGTGCCACCAGAATCCTGGAGTTTATGCGGGGCAAAAGTTTGCCAGTGAATGAGAATGTTTTCAATTCGCTGATACTGGGACATTCGCAGGTGAGTGGAGTGGAACCTCTGAGGGGGTTATATTTTATTTATCTTTATCCGTATGCTCCCCAACCCCCCCGTGTGTAGGCCAACGATTTGGAGTCTGCCAAAGGCATTCTGGCGGTGATGAAGCAGGCCGGCCTGGAGCCCAGTGCCGACACTTATACGACGCTGCTCTGCGCCTTTGCGCGTCATGGGGATCTGGCTGCTTTGCAGGAGACCCTCACGGAATGCGACCAGAAGGAGATCATCTTGCAGGACAAGGATCTGCTGGACACTGTGTACGCCCTGGCGGTGAACGGCAATGGCGATAAGGTGGATGAGCTGCTCGCCAAGTTGCACATCTCGCCGGGCTTCAATCAGGATGCCGTCAATGTGATCCTGCGCCTCGTCAACAAGGGTCACGAGGATGTGGGTCTGCAGATACTGCGCGTGATGCCACGTTCGAATCGCGTGAACGGCGAGCCCGTGGATGTGGGCGCCTTCTTCATACGCCAAATGGTGAAGGCCAATCGACCCGTGGAGAAGATTCTGACCATCTGCAAGACGCTCCAGGCAGAGGGACTCAACCCCAAGGCCCTGTCCATTGCCACGGAGGCGGGTCTGACCAATGGCGTGGTGAACAATGCCCTGCCGCTGCTCAAGGAGATGAAGAACGCCGGTCTGCCCATCCGGCAGCACTACTTCTGGCCGCTCATCTGCTCGGTGGAGTCGAATCAGGTGCTGGAGATTGTCCGTCGCATGCAGCAGGAGTTCGCAGTGCCTCCCAACTCGGAAACGATCAGGGACTATGTGATACCCAGCCTCAAGGAGAAGAACTGGGAGCGTGTCATCACTGCCCTGCGGGATGCTGGCGTTTCCAATTCCACGGCCGTCACCTCAGCTGTCTATGCCGCTCTGGTCACGCATCAGATTGCCGATGCCGCCAAGATTATGGAGCAGAACAGAGCCTACTATGTACCCGTGCTGTTCAGGCAGCCACTGATCCTCGCCCTCAGCCACACGAATGACTTTTCCGCCTTTATTCGCTGCCTGCGACAGATCCACGAGGGACTGCAGCAGCGCCCCGCTGGCAAAGAGGAGGAGGCCGAACAGGGAGAGGCAGCAGCAGCAGCAGCAGCTACGGAGAAGAACATACCCGATGTGGTGGGTAGCATTGTGCAGGAGGCAAGCAACTACTTCAATCGCGATCGTGTGGCCACGCTGGAGAAGATCCTCCAAGGGCTGGTCAAGCAGGGCCTGTCCATCAGCAGCGCAAGGGCCACACAGCTCTCGGACCAACTGGGCGCCGAAATGACGCCAAAGATTTCCGAATTGCTGGGAAAACTTAGCTCCGGCGAGCTGGAGCCAACGGCACTGCCAAGCAGCGGCAAGCGAACATTGGTCTCCCTCTCCATCGATGGTGAGTAATGGAAACACACTGTGGATCCCCCCCCCTTAACCCCTTTGTCATCTCCCACAGAACTGGAACGTTTTATTACAAATGTGGAGGCCAAGGGCGAGAATGCAAACAACATCAAAAGGCAGCTCCTGAGTGCCTGCTTCCGTTCCCAGAACATTGAAAAGACGCTGCAGGTCATGGAAAAACTGGAAACGGAAAAGTTTCAGGTGCCACTAGGCAGCCATGCGCAGCTGGTGGATCTGTATACGCATCACAAGCGCAGCTCGGAGGCGCTCGATGTCTACACGAAGCTGAGGGCCAAGGAGCCGACATTCCAGTTGGATAACCTGAAGACGGTGCACCTGGCGGATCTGCTGCTGCAGGAGGAGCGTGTGGAGGAGGCGTTCAAGCTGCTGGAAGAGAACAAAAAGGATGCACCCATCAGCGACACCGATGGCAGCTTCAACTACGTGAGCACCGTGTGGCGTGTGCTCAATGCCATCGCCGAGGCCGGTCAGCCGGAGAAGCTGCGGCGCCTGTTCGATGCGCTGGTGGCCGCCAACTACATTGTGCCCACCAATGTGCTGCTGGGACCACTGATCAAGGTGCATCTGGTGAAGGACGACATACCCAAGGCGATTGAAACGTTCGAGGAGATCTGCCACACGTACAAGGTGACGCCCTGGAAGAATGAGCTGTCGTGCCGCCTCATCCAGAAGGAGGACGCCATCAATCTGCAGCGCCTGACCGATCTGAGCACGGGCATCCATGGCGAGGTGAACAGCTTGTACGATTTGGTCTTCTCCTTTGTGGAATGCGGACGCGTGCGTCAAGCGAGGAAGATCCTGGAGACACCTGGCCTGCGCACACGCCCCCAAAGGATCAGCAGTGCCTGCGATCGCTATCGCAACGAGGGTCTGCTGCAGCCCCTCGAGGGTCTCGTCGAAGCCACCAAAGACCTGGGACACATTGATCGCAACAAGATCTATTACACGCTCTTGCTCAGCTACGACAAGGCCGATGAGGCCGAAAAGGCTCTCGGCTTGTGGACCAAAATGCAGGAGGAGACGCTGCTGCCCACCGATGCGTTCCTGCTGAAGCTGGCGGAGATTCTGAGGCGCAAGAACATTGATGTGCCCTTTGTGGTGCCCGAAACGCAGCAGCAATCGCGAAGGAGCAGGGCGGCCCAAAAGCAAGAGCAAACCCAGACAGAGACGCCCAAGGAGCAGTCCTCCGGCAAGAGGGAGCAGCCAGCAGCCAAGCAGGAGACTACGCCCAGGCCCATCTCCCACAAATCTGGCTTCCGCAAGGCACTGCTGGCCAACGATACGGATGCAGCCATCAGCCACAAACAGAGCCTGGCAGCCACCGACAAGATCAACATACTGGACACTTCGCGACTGATTGAGCTGCTGGTGCGCGACGATCGCCTCACGGAGGCCACCAAATATGTGGAGGAAGTGCTCGCCGATGGCCTGCATCCGCAGCTGAAGATCTTCCGGTTCTATTTGAACAAAATTGCCGCTGCGGGGGATCTGGAGACGCTCGCGAAGATTGGCAAGCAGCTGAACGAAGAGCAGAAGCGTCTGGTGTCGTTTGACAATCGTTTCTGCCACGCCAACATTGTGGCCGGCAAGGCGGAGCCGTTCCTCAAGCAGCTGAGCGCAGAGATTGACACCGCCAAGACGCCCGAGGAGGCGGCCAAGCAGGCGGAGAAGTTCCCGCGTGGCGGCGCCGTTGGCATACTCGACAAGCATCCCGAACTGTTGCCGCAATGTAAGTGGAGATCCCTGCGGCAGGATTTAGCAGCCATTTAAATGTGATTTTCCCTTTTGTACAGATCAAGCGCTGGCGGAGAAATACGCGGCCCACAATCAATTGGGGCCGATGAATGTGCTGTGGATGCATTTGATATCCAGCGGGCAGGAGGCGGCCTCCAAGGAGATCTGGGACAAGCATCTGTCGCAGTTGCCGCGTCTGATGTTCCAGCGTGTGCTGCAGACGGCACGCGAGCAGCAGGACGAGAAGCTGGCCACGTCGGTCATTTCGCAGCTGAGGGATAGCAAAATCTCCGAGGGCGCCATTGGCAATGCCTACTCCTGCCTGATTGACATCCAAACGACCAAGGGGCAGCACGAAAAGGCCCTCGATGTGCTGTCGAATGCCGTGAAGGATGTCTCACTGGAGAATATCAATCGCACGGCACTGCTGAGGCTCAAGGTGGCCGCGGAGGAGAAGGATCTGAAGTTCCCCTATTCGATACCCGAGAAGAAAGTGTCCAAGGCTGATTCATCCTCGTCCTCCTCTTCCTCGTCGGACAGCGACGATGATGTGTCGCCGAAGTTACCCGAAACTGTGCCACCAAAACCGGCAAATTAAATTCAGATTTAGATTTGATTCGGGGAATCAGCCTTAAACCTTTGTAATTAATTTTATTTTAAGTATTTACTATGGATAATATTGATGATTGTAAACTAAAGAAATATATGTTTAGTTTTCGTTGTTGCAAGTGCGCCTTCAGGTTGATTCTTCTTATTTTAGATTAATTTATGATTTAGATCGCATTTGCTTTGGCCGTTTTTTTTTTTTTAACTTATTTTAGAAATAATCCAGTAAAAAGGAGTCTTCAGAAACAGCCAATCTGGTAGAAAATTGGTTTATCTATCGGATAAAATGATATGTCAAGTGTTAAAAGTCCTAGCTAGCTAGTAATATTAAAGCGAATTTCACAATCGAGGAATATGATTTCCAGACATGTACGATTAACCCTTTTTCGAGCAGCGGATATTTAAATATACGCACGAATATTAGGAAACTTGAAAAATATTAGCGCAGCTCAGGTGAAAGATACACTGTTGTTTTTTGCAGGTAAAGAAGAAGGATGTTGCATTTAAAACGCCATTCGTTTCCGCGGCCTAACTCAATATGTTAATTTGCTTAAAAAGATCGGGGGCTAAGTGGGTTAAGTTCGTTTTTGCCCTCAGTATATTTACGGTATTTCATGAAAATGAGATGGTATATTTGGGTATATTTCTGAGGGTCAGGCGGTATGTTTTTCATCGACAAGTCCGCGGTCACACCGTTGCCAACGTTTTGCCTGTCAAATAAATTTTCACAAAAGTAGTTTTTCCTTTCCACTGCAATCAAGAATCAAGGCCTCACTCAACATGGGTGAAAGCGACGCAGAAAGTGATTCGAGCAGTGGCTCCAGCAGCAGCAGTGGCTCCTCGAGCAGCTCCTCCAGCAGTGGCAGCGGCAGTGCCTCCAAAAGTGATGCTGGCAGCCGCAGCCGCAGTCGTCGGTCGAGCGGGCAGGAAGAACAAGAGCAAGAAGAAGAGCTGGGACAGAAGAAGGCAAAACTGACGCCGGCAGAAGTATCAAATGATTCCCCCCTGGCCGTGGTGGAGCCGCCACAACAGAAGGAGGGCCAGGCACCGAAAGATGTGGACAAGAAAGAGCCACAAAAAGAGGAACCAACAAAAAAGGAGCAGCAAAAGCAGCAGCAACAAACCGCAGCAGCAGAGCAGCCGGAAAAACAAGCCAATGTTGACTCTGCCACAGCTGCGGCTGTTGCTGTTGCTGTTGACACGTCTGTGGCTGGCGTGGAAAAAGCAGAAGCAGAAGCAGCAGCAACAGCCCAGCCAGCAGCAGAAAAAGAAGAGGAAGCTATAACAAAATCAAGTGAAGCGGAAACAAAAACCGAAACAGCTGCTGCCCCGCAGCAACCTTTGGAAGCCGTCGCGGCCGCTGCCTCAACTGTGACTAATTCCGAGGAGAAACCGCAGTCAGAGGCGGAGGCGGAGGCGGAACCTGATAAAGATCATTCCGTGACCACCAATGGAGAGGCCAAAGCGGCCAAAGCAGCCACAGCAGCAGCACCACCACCAGCAGCTGCCAGTCCATCGAATCACATCGAAGAGGGCGAAATAACTGATGTAAGTTTTTACCCCACACAGAAATATACACTGAAAGAAAAACTCATGGCAAATCCTTCTATACCAGAAGGACGACGACGACGATGTTGTGCCGCCGCCTGCGTCGGTGGCGTCTGTGGCTGTGCCCAAGCAGCCGCTGGCCAGCGAAGTGCGCAAACGTAGCCGCAGTGGCGATGAAAAGAGTCGCAACCGGCGACGCAGTGCCAGCCGCAGCCGCTCGCCGAAAAACCGGCGACCACGTCGCACACGCACCCGGACACGCAGTCGCAGCAAAAGTCCCAAGCGTCGCCGCTCCAGCTCCTTGGAGCGCAGACGTCGCGAGCGTCAGAAGCGGCACGAGGAGCGCGACAAACGCGACGAGGTGCGTGCCAAGGAGCGCGAGGACCGTCGTCGCAAGGAAAAGTCACGCAGCAGTCGACGCGACGACTCGCGTGAGAGATCCAGGCGCAGGTCCAGCGACAAGCGACGCTCCAGCTCGAGTGGCGGCTCCAAGCGGGCAGGCTCCGCCATCGCGGACAATTCCACGGTCACAAATCCCACGGCCAAGATCACCGAACGCCAGCGTCGCACCGTCGATGTGCTGACATCGCGCACCGGCGGCGCCTACATACCGCCAGCGAAGCTCCGACTGCTGCAGGAGGGCATCACGGACAAGGCATCGGCTGCGTATCAGCGCATCGCCTGGGAGGCGCTCAAGAAGTCCATCCACGGCTACATCAACAAGGTGAATGTGACGAATATCGCCATCATTACCCGCGAATTGCTGCGTGAGAACATTGTCCGTGGCCGTGGCCTGCTCTCGCGGAGCATCATTCAGGCCCAGGCCGCCTCGCCCACCTTCACGCACGTCTATGCCGCCCTGGTGGCCATCATCAATTCGAAATTCCCGAATATCGGCGAGCTGCTGCTCAAGCGTCTGGTCATTCAGTTTCGTCGCGCCTTTCGCCGCAACGACAAGCTCGTGTGCATGTCGTCGACGCGTTTCATTGCCCATCTGGTGAATCAGCGTGTGGCCCACGAGATTTTGGCACTGGAGATTCTCACGCTGCTCGTGGAGACGCCCACCGATGATTCCGTGGAGGTGGCCATTTCCTTTCTCAAGGAGAGCGGCATGAAGCTGACGGAGGTCTCGTCCAAGGGCATTGGCGCCATCTTTGAGATGCTGCGCAACATCCTGCACGAGGGCAAGCTGGACAAGCGCGTCCAGTACATGATCGAGGTGCTGTTTCAGGTGCGCAAGGACGGCTTCAAGGATCATCTGGCCATAGTTTCGGAGCTAGAGCTGGTGGAGGAGGACGAACAGTTTACGCATCTGATGATGCTGGACGAGGCCACCGAAACGGAGGATATACTGAGTGAGTAATGCAGCTAATCCCCACGGCAATCCCTCGCTAATCCTTACCCCCATTGTAATCACCATTTAGATGTCTTCAAATTCGATGAGAACTTTGCCGAAAACGAAGACAAATACAAGGGTCTGAGCGCCGAAATTCTCGGCAGCGACGATGGCAGCGGTTCGGGCTCTGGCTCGGGCTCCGATTCGGACAGCGATTCGGATGGCGATGACAACTCGGATGGCGATGTCGGCAAAAAGACCGATGCTGGGGATATTATTGACAACACGGAGACCAATCTGATTGCCCTGCGGCGCACCATCTATCTGACCATCAACTCCAGTTTGGATTACGAGGAGTGCGCCCACAAGCTGATGAAAATGGAGCTGAAGCCTGGTCAGGAGGTGGAGCTGTGTCACATGTTCCTCGACTGCTGTGCGGAGCAGCGGACCTACGAGAAGTTCTACGGCCTGTTGGCGCAGCGTTTCTGCAACATTAACCGCATGTACATACCGCCCTTCGAGGAGATCTTCAAGGACACCTACCAGACGACGCATCGCCTGGACACGAATCGGCTGCGGAACGTGAGCAAGTTCTTTGCCCATCTGCTCTTCACCGATTCCATCAGCTGGGACGTGCTGGACTGTGTGCTGCTGAACGAGGACGATACCACCTCATCGAGTCGCATTTTCATCAAGATTCTGTTCCAGGAGCTCGCCGAATACATGGGCCTGGGCAAACTCAACTCCAAGCTCAAGGAGGAGGTGCTGGTGGAGAGCCTGGCGGGTCTCTTTCCCAAGGATAATCCCCGCAACACTCGATTCTCCATTAACTTCTTCACGTCGATTGGTTTGGGCGGACTCACCGATGATCTGCGGCGTTTCCTGAAGACAGCGCCCAAGGCAGTGCCCGCCATCAATTCAGAGCTGCTGTCCACGGGCGGGAATCCTTTCCGCGAACCAGGAACAGCACCAGCAGCAGCAGCAGCATCAGCATTGGCGGGAGCAGCACCCATTGCCGTGGTTAACTCCTCCACCGGCTCGTCTTCGAGTTCCAGCAGCAGCAGCAGCAACAGTTCCAGCGAGGATGAGGAGGAGCAAAAGTCGAGCACCAGCGACGAGGACAGCGACAGCGAATCGTCCAGCTCCGAGTCGGAGCCACAGCGAAAGCGTAAACGCAAGGAGAAGCGCAAGAAGAAGCCCAAAAAGCAGCGAAAGGCAGAGCTGAAAAAGTCGAAGGATAAAAAGGACAAAAAGAAGAAGTCCAAAAAGGAAAAGGACAAAGAGCGGGAGAAGGAGCGCGAGCGCGAGGAGAAAAAGAAGCGCGAAAAGGAGAAGAAAAAGGCCGCCAAAAAGAAGTCGAAACGCAAGCGTAAGCACCACCAGGAGAGCTCCAGTTCCAGCAGCAGCTCCGAAAGCAGCAAGGCCGCCTCCTCCACATCCTCGTCCGCCTCAGAGGCGGCCTCGAGCAGCGCCGACGACAGCGATGGCCAGCCACCGTCCAAGATTCAGCGCCAGGAGAAGAGCAACCACAACAGCAACAACAACAACAACAACAAATTCAAGGCCCGCAAGGAGGACAGCGATGGGTTCAACCTGGAGGGACCACCCATGGGGCGTGAGCAGGAGCGTCATCAGCAACAGATGAATGGAAATGGCGCCCGGAAGCATCGGGAGCCATCATTCCCATCCGCCCACGAAAGACAGCCGGAGCGGCGAGCTGAACGAGATGTGCGTCGTGGTGAGTCCGGTGGTCTGCGTGGAGACTCACGTGGCCGTCGTGGAGACTCTCGTGGCCGTCGTGGGGACTCCACTGGACGCCGTGGAGACTCCGGAGGACGTCGTGGTGTGGCAGAAAGCCGCTGCAGCGAGAGAGGAGGCCGCATCGGCAGTGATCGTGAACGAAACCGTGAGCCGGAAAGGAATCGTGAACGTGACCGGGACTACGAACGGCGTGACAATCGAGACCGTGACCGTGACCGTGAGCGAGATCGTGACCAGCCACGCAATCGCGAACGTTCCCGTGAGCAGGATCGCAGCAGCCGAAAGGAGCGCGAACGCAGCTCACACAAGCGCGTGTCCAAGGGGCGAGGATAGGTTGATAGATATCTCTAGAGTCTAGACTGTAAAACGACAACAAAAATTCACCCACATGCAAATATTTTTTTTTAAATATTTTTATGTAAACTGTGTACAAAGAACCGCATCCAAGTTGCTATAACAAATGTAAATGTACTAAAAACAAAACAACTGCAAAAATAAACAAATTTTATTACACGATTTACACAATAAATTAATGGAATTAAATTTTAAATGCAAATGAAAGATGGCAGCACTCAACGGCTATGCCACTGCTGCCCAACGTGAACGCCCATTGAGCACAGCTGTTTTGAGCAACTCTGAAATTCAAATCAAAGCAACGCTGAAATAGGGCTGCCACCTGTGCACCCCCAAGTCAGGAAAATTTTGGCCTGGCAACTCCCTTTTCGCATAAGTGTCGTCTAGCGTGAACACGCGGATTTCACTTGGTGGATTTTCAAATTGATAAATAAGGTAATTATGAGTGCCATCCGGTGAAATAAATATGCGGCAAATGCTAATGAATGTACCCCGATCATTGTGCAGCTGAAAACAAAATGACCAAGAAGCGCCGTAACGGAGGGCGGAACAAGCACAATCGCGGCCATGTGAAGCCCGTGCGCTGCACCAACTGTGCCCGCTGCGTGCCCAAGGACAAGGCGATCAAGAAGTTTGTCATCCGCAACATTGTGGAGGCGGCTGCTGTGCGCGACATCACCGAGGCCAGCATCTGGGACTCGTACGTGCTCCCCAAACTCTACGCCAAATTGCATTACTGCGTGTCGTGCGCAATTCACTCCAAGGTGGTGCGCAATCGTTCCCGTGAGGCACGTCGCATCCGTACGCCGCCACTCCGCTCCTTCCCCAAGGACATGGCCCGCAACAACCAGAATAGGAAGTAAACTTTTTCATCTTAACTGGAGAAACGGGATGCTTATGGCGGCTGCTACACACCAACAACAACAGCAGCAGCAGCAAATAATCAACTAGAATCCATCAACTTAAAACTAGAAAAAGTTTTCGATATGGCACTGGTCTAACCGGCGAGAAGCAGACGAAATATAAGCATCCAGTTTTTACATTACACCCGAATATCAAATACATTTTAGTGGTTTTCCGTGGGACAGCAAGAAAGTGGAGCTGGAGTGGAGCTTCTCATGAGTGCACATCCATCAGCAGCAGCAGCAGCATCCAACTGTTTCCTGAACGGATGCGGCGGCGCGTAGTCAGTCGTCTGTGATATCTCATATCCGGCACCTGTTCCCCCTACTTTCCCCGTGGAGCAGACCAGAATGAGCAGCAGTTTTCATTTCATTACTTTCTGGTGATTGTTAAGCCCGGGTTTAAGCCTTTAAATAGCTGCTTTTGTGCCTTTAGTTTGGGCAGCAAGTGAATCATATATCCTCCTATATTCTGATCATAAAATATATATAGTCTGATCCTATATCAGAATCAATATGGTCAGATTATGAGCAAGTGAGAATTTGTGTGGCCAGGAGTTCATCGACTTTATGAGCCTGTAGAATCTAAGTTTTAGTTGTGGAACGGAAATGTCTTGGCTGAAATAATCCAACATTTAGACGCCTCTTGAGGGCTTTATACTATTCCCAATTCAAAGTGTAAATATTTGATACCACTGCTGGCTAAATACCTCTATTTCTCATGTTCTTTATAGTTTATTATTTAGTTCTCGTTTGATTTCTGCAATTTCTGCTTTAAATGGGCGGGAATTCTGTGATGTGCCGCCAATTTTCCAACTCTTAACCCAAGTGAGAGGGGAAAATGGATTCAACTGTAGAACAAATCTGCCTGAAATTCTTATAAGGAAAAATGCATAAGATAGGTCGGGGAAACCGGCTTATGTGGCATCAAGACGTGTTCGTTGGTGGCTTTATTTGTGTTGTGGGCCACAGCAAAAAAAAAAGTAACAAAAACAAAGTGCATGTAGCAAATGGGTAAAGTGTCATAGTTCTGAAAACAGCCGCTACGAAGTTCTGAACGTGACGTGGCGCCACTGAACAGTGCAGGAAATACGCGTACATATTTTACATTGCATGTAGAAAAGTTTTATAACCACTTGCGCAACTTTATATACGACAATTGATATAAATTCTTGATTCGAGTGAATCTTCACGTTATAATTAGGGCTATAGGAAATTATGCTGAAGGAACTGTTGGCTTGTGGTTGTGGTGCGACTGTGAGAAGAAAATCTAGACGCAACTGTGCATGTAGAAAGTGATGTATATGTACATGTACATGTACGATGGTTGTAGCTAGACGAGTGAGACTCGACTTTAGTTGTACCCCTTACGCACATTTAGTTCAAGGAATAGAAAATGGTATTTGCATATGTTGAAACAGAAACCCCCTGGTTCGTCCCTAAACAATTTTCATTATAATTCTGGCCTAGATATGGTATCAAATAGATGTTAAATAGGAGAAAGATAATTTTCTACAATTACTTTTCAATGCACATGTCGTACAATGATTGTACAGATAATAAACGTATCTTAAGGTGTTGCCTCTAGTCCAAGAAATACTTACAACCTTTTCGTGAACCTCTCCAACACTTCCTGTGTTTCCGCATACCCATTATACTCAATGAGTTGCAGGGTATGTCCAGGCAATACTATTTTTTCTTTGGCATAAATTACACAGACGTGAGCGCAAAGGCAAATGAGAGTTCGGTGGGGTTGAGACCGACCCCCACAATGGGGGTCACATGCGTGTGTGTGTATGTGTGTGCACTTCCTCTTCCTTCCTTCCTGTTTACCCCTTCTTGCCATTTGTTCCTCGAGCCTTCGAGGAGTTTTTGCTTCTTTTCCGCTTGTTCAGCAGCAGCAGCAGTTCAGTGTTCCAGGCGCTGGGTGCTGAATTATTGTTTTCGTTTTGCTGTGCAAATAAAACGTAGACATAAGCAGCAGCAGCCGTTGATCATTTAGCATAAATTAAATAGAACTCACGAACGAGCGAAGGCTGCCAGAAAGGGTCACCCAAGGGTTAATGAAAGTTATGAAGAGCAGAGAGAGAGAGAGAGACAGAGAGAGCGAGACTTAACAGACTTTATTCAACAACCAACAATTTTGTGATGCAACCTCCAAGAACCCCCCGTTTAATTCTCTTCATCGCGTACATCCTTTGTGTTCTCATGCTCCAGTTCCAGGGCCCGAACGCCGCGCAGCTTCCCCTGGAAGGCGCCCGCATAGACATCGCTCCAGAGATGCGACAGCGGCGGCTCATCATCCTTGCGGGCGGCACGCGTGGCCACCTCCATCTCGAGACGCGCCACTTGACTGATCTCGTGCAGCTCGTCCGCCGAGAGGATCTGCTCATCCAGGCAGAGATCACGAAAGCCCTGGATCGGATCGCTTTGCTGGCGCACCTTTTGCACCTCCTCGCGTGTGCGGTAGCTGGTGCCCGGATCGGACATCGAGTGGCCCCCATAGCGATAGGTGCACAGCTCCAGCAGTATGGGACCATTTATCTGGGCATGCTTGATGGCGAATTCCGTGGCACTGCGCACGGCCAGCACATCCTGGCCATCCACCCAGATGCCCGGCAGGAGGTCTCCGCGCGTGTAGTAACTTGTGTTGGAGGCAGCCCGCTGCGAGCTGGTGCCCATGCCATAGTTGTTGTTCTCGCAGACGAAGATCAGCGGCAGCTGCCACAGCAGCGCCATGTTGAAGCACTCAAAGACCTGGCCCTGATTGGCGGCACCGTCGCCGTAGAGGGCCAGACAGACGCCGCCATCCTGCAGATACTTGCTCGTGAGCGCCAGGCCAGCGCCCAGGGGCACCTGGTCGCCCACAATCCCTGTGCCGCCATAGAAATTCCGGCCGTACATGTGCATGGAGCCGCCCTTGCCGCCGGAACAGCCACTGCGTCGACCCGTCAGCTCCGCCAGCACGCCCTGAGCGGAGACGCCCATCATGTAGGCCCAGCCGTGGACACGGTAGCCGGTGATGAGCTTATCGTTGCTCCGCATCGCCGCTCGAATGCCCACGGCACAGGCCTCCTGGCCGACATACAGGTGGCAGAAGCCGCGCACCAACTGCTCCTTGTAGAGCTTCGAGGCAGCCGACTCTAGGTTCCGCACGGTCACCAGCTGGCGGTAGTACTCCATGGCCTGCGACTTCCTAATGGCCACCACCCGCTCGGGTCCTGCATTCAGGCGATGCAGCTTGAAGTCCTTCGGCAGCGACACCACCCGATACTCGTCCCCAAGTTCCATCTCCTGGGGATGGGGCTGGAGATGGGGCATGGCATGGGCTTCCGTTTCCTCAGTTTCTGCTGCGGTGTCGCCGGCACATGGCGCCAGCGGACGCGACAGCTGAGCTGAGGAGAAGCGCAACAGCAGACGATTTACCAGTCGGCTGGGAATTTTGTTGGCTAACTTCAACATTTTAATACGTTTAATTCAAATGTGTAAGAAGCTGCCAACAGAAAATTACGGGAGCCTACTGGGCGGCAGAGTTTACGCAGATCAATCTAATGATAAATACAGCCTACAACAATCGTATTAAATGGACATTTATGTGCGTTGCTCAGCCCTCTATTTATATTCTCGGGGGCCGCATAAATACTACAAAATATACAACCATTTTCTGTGCATATTCACATCCAGTTGAAGCCCCTTTCAATTGCCTGTAACAGAGACACGTGTACTATATACCTCAATTGTTTCAGCATTCTATGGTTTTCATTGTCGGCCTGTGGATAACCTTTTGCACTTGCACACTTTTTTCTACACTTTCCACTTTCCACTCACAATTGTCGCTTTGTCTCTGGCTCTGTCTGTTCGCTCTATCGATTCCACTCTTTCATGAGTGCCCATGCCATATTTTTTACTTTAATTTCCGCTATATTTTGTCCCTCTGCGAGTCAGCCTCCTCCACCCATTCACTTACAATTCCAATATCCTTCTCATTTTTTATACATTTTTTCTTTTTTGCGAGTACCTAATGCCATGGCCAGAACAAAACACTTTCACTGTCCCCACACACATATATATATTTTTTTTTGGTGCTTTTGCTGTTGCTGCTGCTGGTAAAACTCTGTGAATCGTAAATAAAAACGTTAAATGTTTTTTTAACGTGCGCCACTTAACACTCGGTACAATTTAAAGGCAATTGGGCACACCAGAAAACAGCAACACAGCATCCACAAACAACAAAGGGATACAGCAGGGCCAGGGCCAGGGCCAGGAGCAGAAGCAGCCACACAACAGGAGCAGCAGAAGCAGGACCAGTATCAACAATGGCCGCAAAAAGTCAAGCAATGCACATTTGTACATATGTATCTCTTCACTATGTATATATATAGAGATATGTGCATGACATATAAACGATATATTTCATAGCATTCGGTTTGTTAAATACCCTTATAGAGGTATGCCTCAAAGGGCATTTCAGGCACAAGAATGCCCATTAAAAATCAAATAATTAATTATTTAATTATTATATAATTACTAATTAATTATATAATAATATTTATAATTATTTTTATTCGTATTATTACCCTCCAACATTCAAGTATGCAACTGCCGGCACACCTGACCGAGAGCAGTGCAGAAACCCTACTTCAGAAGTCAATAATATAATACACATAATACCAACTATTTGTTTACGAAAATAGCTTGAATTAGCTATGATTTTAATCTACAAATATCTGTATTTATCAGTCTGCTATAACAGGATATCCCTGCTCTCCATACATGATACAAGATATTAGCCCCAACATTTTTTCTTTTGCTCTCCTTTTGTCATTTCTCTTTCTGGTTCTGGTTTGTTTTATTATTATTATTTGAGTTTTTTGTTAGCTGGCTCGTAATTTAATATAGATTTTTGTGCCCTGCCCCAGCCCGAATAACACCTCCGCCTGCACGACTGGTACTCTCGCTCATTTTTTATGTTTCAAACAATAAATTGTCAATTGATTTTTGGTCTCCTGTTTATGGGGCTGCCATATATTTATCTACTTTTTTTTTTGTCATCTGCTTCTTTTTTGTTGGGCGAGGGAATGAAATATCATTCAAGAGGGTGAGACGAGACAGATGAGACGGGACGGGGTGGGACGGGACGGTCTTACATCTTGTTTCTTGTAGCCTGATTCCTTGTCAAACAAATCGTAAAAATGTGAAATTATTTTTATTTATATATACAAATCATCAAATGGCATTTTCTTGTACGCATATTTCAATTATGGGAATGAGAAATGGTGGAAAACTGGCGAAAATTAAACAATATTTTATGTATTTTTGTTTTTTTTTGTTGACTGTGGCAGAATATCAAAGTGATATGACGCTTCCTGGAGGGCTCACATGCCAGTGTGTATGTGTGTGTGTGTGTGTAATACCTATAAAAATTGCTTGCATTGAAAACGAAAAGCATAAACATATACTATATCTATATATATATATATATATATCCGCGACCTGCCACTCCCACAGTTGAGTGTTTATTTTGTGATTGATAAAAATAAAGAGTCGCAAGCAAATGGAGGCAGGGACTTTTGAACAGTCAATGGGTGTTATTATTTTTATTGTCAATGACAGCTGCGGGTTTTTTTTTGTATTTTTCATTTTCATTTGTCCTTCCCCATCATCGTTTTCCCTGTGTACTTGTGGCCTTGGGTGCCTGTTCTCGATACGCGTTTGATGATGGGAAATGTAGCATGTGTCAGCCATGGAGTAGAGCAGAATGGAATGCAAAGAATAACAGCAAAAGAAATATTTTTATATGCATATGAAAATTAAGCCTTTATTTATAATTGAATGGACAGGACAGTGGCAGGAGCGCTGCCTACCTGCTGGTGGGTAATCGACACAAGGCTGAATTTTATTGAAAGGAAAGGAATATTTTACTGGCAATCAATGTACTTAAATGATGATGGATTGGTGTATTACCCCCATCACTTCGTTTAAAGGTGGGGTTAAAAAAAGTGGGGGAGCACCTTGATATTCTCTTGGCATTAAGTGTATTTCTGCAAAAGATACTTATTAAATACATTTAATGCGCACAGAGTCTTAAATAAGGATTGTCTGATTTCCATAAGTTAATTGAACTGCTTACATTTTTGACAGATGAAAAGTGTCATCAACAGTGTTGTAAAGTGCACAAAAATAGCTTTATAGTTGAAGCTGGAACTATTTAATTTACAGCCACTTAAAGCATTTCAAACAGTGGACTTGATAGAAAAAGTATGGTAAAACGCCAAATATTGTGCTATTAATTTTTACAATGATATCTTTATGCAATATATGGATTATCCAGAGTGGAAATCGTATAAGTTTCAACGCTCACGCAGTAAGTTGATTCTTCTGGCAACCTTAATACATTTAATCGCTGGATTAATTAAGGATTATCTACTCCTTCAAGTAACTGCCTCTACAGAGCTGCCTCGCCCACTCCTTTCGCACAGTTCGAACACTTCAGCACTCCAATTTTTTCCATATTTGTTTGCTCCATCACCTGCCAAAAAAAAAAAAAACAAAAGGAGAAAATAACAGAGGAAAATGAACTCATTTGTTACCCCACTTGCCAAATGGAACCCAATTCATTCTCAACTCTTAGTCTTCTCCAAATTGGGAGGCAGGACCAGGACCAGGACCTTTCCTCCATTCGTTTCAATACAATTAAATTTCCACGCTGCTTGATTTTGAACGCATGACGCATTTTAATTATTTTCAATGAGAGAATACTTTATGAAATTCACCAGCGACCCAATTGCTCAACATTCAGCGAGTTCTGTCGCCGTCTCTACCTTCATTGTAACTCCTCTAGGATCTGCCTGGCTTTATCCTTTCCGCACTGGATATGTGTGTGTGTGTGTGGCAAGCGGAAGTGCAGCAGGAGGCAAAGACAGTGGAAGCGAAAATGAATGTCATTCATTCGGGTGAGTCCTTCGGGAGTTCTGCATGCAATTAAGCCCCAGCCTCTGTCTCTCTCTCTGCCTCAGTCTCTCCTCTCTGTTCAGCCACCTGCATGAGAAGTGGAGGCGGAGTTCCAACTGAATTGCTGGCTGGTCTTCAGGTTAATTACAATGTACATTGTTTATCGGCCCATTCTTTCCATCCCACCTATCCCTCTTTATTCCTGGAATCCCTTGGCGGTTTAATAGGATTTTTTTTAAATGTTTCTCTTTCCTCTTTCCAAAGCGTCGCTTTTCCTTTGCTTAATTATGCGCACAAAATTTCGTTAAAAAAAAAAATAATTGTTTGAGGTTAATTAATAATTCAGCAAATTCACTGCAGAAGTTTTTCCAGCTGCAGCCCCCCCCCCCCACCCGTCTCATGTCCCGTGTGCTGTGCACTTTTAATGGACTGCAAAGGACTTGCCCAAGTAGACTTGCTAATGGCCAAGGCTTTCGCTTTATGCTCGCTCCACTTTTTTTCCTCGCTTATTGAAGTCTAGTCTGAGGTCTGGACCTGGTCGGGACATCATCTGCATAATTCTTCATTAACGCGAACTTAATGCGTTTATGGTTAACGCAGACAACGCGAAATGATGTTTCATAATTCAATTAGCAGAGGGGCGCGCGTAAACGGGGGCACACTGTGGTTACCGGTTAACGGTTCTTAAAGGTGAAAGTGTTGTTGGGGTTGGGGTCGGGGTCGGTCGGCCATCAATGTGTTGTTAATTGAACGATTGTGCAACTGTTTGGGTTACAATGAGGTTCAAAAGTTGCAGAAGGAACCTTGTGCAGCCTTGTGGCAGTTTTTCCATTTGTAATAATCTTTTATTTGTATTTTCAAACAGAGAAGCATTCCCAAAAACTGAGTACCGGATATCCTTCATGTCGGGGCACGTGTGCCGCTGCTGCAAATAATTTTAAAACATCTGCAAAATCAACCATAAATCTGTTTGCCATTTCTCTTTAATAAATTGCATTTAATATAATTTCCCATCACTTAAGTAACTCGTTTCCACACTGCCCCTGTAAATAGGGGAAATCCCCAAATGGCCTGATAAGAATTTCATTTCCTATGCTATTCACACGCGTCCGTCGCTTAGCCCTACCGCGGCCACGCCTCTCCAGGCCCTCCAGCCATAAAAATTGATACGCACAATCAGAAACCCTTTTTTTTTTTTTGTTGCTGGTAAAGGACCCTTGTCCGAACTTTAAGGCCGAAACATAAACAAGTTAGTCAAATAAAACATTTTGTTTTTTTTTTATTAAAAAGCCAAACAGCCAACAGAGAACAAAAAAAAAGAGTAAATGGATCAAAGTAAAAATTCCCAGGAACATATTACATGAATCGAAGCAATGTGTGTGTGTGTGTGTGTGTGTGTGTGTGGCCGGGTGTATGTTGGGGGTGTGTGTGTGTGTGCGTGTGAGCTTAACCCAAATTATCTATTGCCCGTGGCCAAAAAGAGTCGGTCTCTTTCACTTACCATTGCGTATACGCAATGTTGTGTTAGGGCATTTTTTTTTGTTGTTGTT